CTAGAAACAATGTGGTGCCAATTTAAGGGTGGAAATCTTGTTAAGCGGCGCTCAAGTTCAAGCTTACGGACGTGGTCTGTAGGATTAGCCATAGCTTTCCTTCGCCAGATTTCAACGACGAACAACAATAATCTGCAATAACAAGCGTTGCACATGTTGTATGTAAACAATGTTCGTGTCCAAACATTGAAACAATCTTACTGACAGCTAATATAACGCAGCTGTTTGGTTGTTCAGTCTGCAACATTGGTTGGACCGTCAGCGCCAAATTGTGAGACGGGGAATGTAACACTAGAACTTTTTACACTAATGTTGTTTGAAGTTCTTTGCGTTCTTTAGCTTTCAGCACGTTCACGGACGTGTAAAGCTGTAATTGCCGAGGACTGGACTAACTCCGGACACTTGTGTTTGTGTACATCACCTCTCCAGACGCGGTGACCGCTGATATTTGGCCTTTTCACGCGACACGTTGCGAACGAAGAGCGAGCAAACACAAATATTTGAGGCATCGCTTAATTAATGAGTTACAAAGAACGATGTTATTTTTACGTTCTGTGCAGGGTTTTAGCCAGCCTGAATTTGTTTCCATCATTTCAATTTTCTTTGACGTAACATCATGCCAAAGTCTAAAATCTTGAACCTCTTAAACGCTGGTAGTCTAAGCTTAGTTTGATCTGAAGAACCTGATTTTGTCTATCAAAGATGACGGATTGAGCAAAATGTTTGTCCGTCATGAGCGTCAAAATCCCGTGAATTGACGGAAAGACGGCCACCGGCTAGAACACTAGTTTTGTGTGTTTTGCTGTCTTAAAAATAATAGTTTTACGTGTATCGTATTACACAAACGCTAAGTGCTACAGACGTCGTTTGAGTCTGTTTACGTAACCCGAAGTGCCCTTAAAGGAAAGGCATAATCGTTTTTTGGCAATCTTAAGACAGGGTTGAGTACGGTCAAGTAGGTCCTGACAGAAACAAAGTCACAAGTAAGCAGAAAAGGGCGTTTGCTTTCTGTCAACGCTACATATACCGTATGGGAAGAGTAATGGCCTTAAAACTTCCACACTTCCATACAATGCGTGTAGGTCACCATGACCCCCTATGGGAAAATATTAATATACAAACGGTGATTTTGATTTTTAACTTTTGGTATTTTCTGCAACATACCAAATTTTAATGTCTGAAACCATATAAAAAACAGCATACTTCACTAAAAACGATGAAAGGTGGAATTTTAAACAAACAGAATACAAGCAAACAATTGTCTTGCGGTAAGAAGTTATGAAAATAGACACACAGGGGGCTGCTTTCTTTTGCTTGTTTTCATCCCTACATATGGTGTATAGTTGTAGCATATGGAGAGTCATGATAACAGAGACTGAGAGTCCACAGCCGAAATATGTCTCTGCCATAATGATGAACAGAACTGATTTTCTTTGCCCAGCTGTAGTTTTGACACATCTACATGTAACACGTGAGGTAAGTTGGCAGAGTTCAGCAGTTCAGTGACTCTTCACTTTGGCGACGCCGTCCTGGCAAATTCCTTCACACAGAAAACGTCCTTCGAGCATGTTACCTCCGTGAACGGAGGTTTTGTTTTGGATATATTTGCTTGGGTTTTCTGTAGTTATTTCCTATAGTCGAGGTCTACTGACAGGTGCTAGCTCATCAGAGGTCCCAGAAAGATCCCAGACATCACATTTATCTCATTTCCTGCCCTTAATTTCCTGTTACATGCTTGACTGTTGTCTTTTGGGAGATAGTGGGAAACGCCTGACGTGAGGATAATGGGAAAATGCACATACATGGACAAAATCAACAAGAAATTCGCAATTATGAATAAAACAAGAAATGCACAGAAAACTCCGATTCAAATAAACATTTCACAGAGGTATGAGATAATCTATTTGGGTTTTTTCCTTACCAATCACTTATTTTGGAAGGCATACATCTTAATGGATGCAGAAATATCATCGTTAACTTTTGCTAGCTCGCAGCAGATAGGTCCATTAACAAGTGTCAACGTTCATCTGTACCCGTATTTGTTTATACATATATTTTCCAGGATTGATATGAAATTATAAATATCTATGATCATAAAATGTCAATATGAAATATACGAATTACGTGGCTTTAAGTTTGTCTACATGGAATTTTGGCCTGGAGCGTGTTGATCCAATAACCTTGAAAAGCAGCCGTGTCAGCAAACCAAAGCCGTATGTACGGACGGACTCTTCAACTTGTCAAGTGCCATTACTAGTACCGCACACTCACAGCTTATAAAAGCCTTAGGTTTATGTGGCTTTTTCTGTAGCAAGACTAGAACCGCACACTCACATCTTATAAAAGCCTTAGGTTTATGTGGCTATTTCTGTAGCAAGACTAGTACCGCACACTAACAGCATATAAAAGCCTTAGGTTTATGTGGCTATGTCTGTAGCAAGACGGAGACGGTCTGTGGAGTAAGGCCTGAGCTTCAACTTGTCAAGTGCAAATACTAGTACCGCACACTCACAGCTTATAAAAGCCTTAGGTTTATGTGGCTATTACTAGTAGAGCACACTCACAGCTTATAAAAGCCTTAGGTTTATGTGGCTATTACTAGTAGAGCACACTCACAGCTTATAAAAGCCTTAGGTTTATGTGGATATTTCTGTAGCAAGACGGAGACGGTCTTTGGTGTACGGCCTGAACTTCAACTTGTGCAGTTTCTAGTACCGCACACTCACAGCTTATAAAAGCCTAGGTTTATTTGGCTATTTCTGTAGCAAGACCTTAGCTTCAACTTGTCAAGTGCAATTACTAGTACCACACACTAACAGCTTATAAAAGCCTTAGGTTTATGTGGCTATTTCTGGGGGAGACCGTCTAGGTTTGGGTTACCGCCTTGCGGAGGTTAGTGGGGTCGGGAAAGCCCCCGCAAACCCCGTCTTCCCACCCCCGCCCGGATGCGTTTGGTCACGCGAGGATTTCCCTGACCCTGGCACGCCGATGTGGGACAAAAAGACGTTCGGCACCAGAAACATCAAATGTCGGGAGAGGGTTTGCGGTTTAGCGTGGTATTTATATGAGTCAGCTGAGCTTGGAAACAACTACACCCTTGGTGGGATTGAAATCGCAGGGATTCAGTTTTTGTCGGTCGTCTTGTTGCGTTGCCAACTTAATAGCGAAGTCGCATTTGCCTTGGGTCGTCGTGCGATTTTGATGTCGAAGGGTTTTCAAGCAGGCTGAGATAGAACCAAACGCCGACAATGATTTAAGACAGCCTTTCAGGTATCAAGACTGCTGGATTATACACGACATATATACGACTGTCGCACGAATGCACTAAGCGATCGTGCGATTATTATCTTACGACGATATTACGACGAGTGTGAGCAGGCCCTTAACTGAAGTACCGGTGGGAGGCGAGGTGTATCATGCAAGTTTGAAGGCCGTAGATGCATGACACATTCTTGGAACGCAATCTCACGGTACATGCAGAAATGTTGATCTTGAATTAATCTTTCGTGTCACAATCTAACTACTTGGAACGCGTGTTCAAATGTACATTTGTACGTACAGCCGGTAAAACCGCCCTTCGGCGTGAAACACCTGCAATGCTGCATTAGTCACGCCAAACCTTTAGGTCATTTCTCCTTTTTGTTTTGGCGCAGATATTATTAATATCTGTCAGAAATAAAGCTAGTAGTAGCTGAACACACAGAACTGTCCTATTTTACTTAATGCGTCACGTCGTGTAACTCTGTAGAAGTCTTAAGCAATGATTTTGATATACTGGTCCCAAACTCGCCCCCTCCGTCAAAACGTAATAAGGCAAAACATAAACATTGAAATATTTGACGAACTTTGTCATTGGTCAAACCACTCATGCTACGGTCCCATTGGTTGAACTTCTGAACTGAACTAGACGTTGAGGACCGGTCTATACAAAGTCGTCTCCGCCCATCATGAATGAATGAATGGTCTCGTTTGAAACGAGACGCGCCCGGATTTCTGTCTCGCCTACAGGCCGCCCTGACCTCACGTCTTCATCTCACAACCGCCGAGGACATACGTCTCCTCTCAGGAATCTTCGCGACTTTCCACAACTTTGACCTTAGCGCTCAAGGTCACATGCAGCGAAGGGCACGCGCCGGACATGCAGCACGCCGGGGCGTGTCCGTGACAACCAGACTTGTGCTTCGTGTCGTCTGCAGAGCTGTCAATCAAATTTAACCTCAAAACCTACTTTACATACAACATAAGTGCTTCAAGCATTACACTTTTGAAAAGCATTGGAATCTAGCTATTAGGAAAGCATTAGCTTAGAATCTTGCACTTTAAACTGGCTAGCTTAGCGGTGTAAGTGTCAGAGGAATTTTGTTCCAAATTAGAGCAGGCGTCGACAGGGAATTAAGCCGTCTGTAGGGATCTAATGACAGGAGCTTTTCCCAGGCCTCGGATTTCTTATCGGATATCGTATAACACTGGTGGTTCTGGAAGAGAAATCACTGAAGAATGATAGCTTTAAATCACTGCGAGAGAGCTAGAGACGAAGATTTTTTCTCTCTCGATGTCAAAGGGGACTTGGCATCAATGTGGGCACTTGGATGGACAAGGAAAGACTTCCAGCATGTTTCAATTGAACCTAAGGGACCGTCTGTACAGTGTTAAAGTCACGCTGAGTTTGTATCCCGTCGACTTCCACCAAAAAATACGATTCTAAGGGATGCACGCATCGTGCAAACGCCTGGCAAAAATTGGCCGTTACGCCTTTTAAAGGGGAGTCAAGGCGCTAGCACACATGTTGCGGTGTCGCGTGGAATTCCAGTATTTCACGGCAAGGCTAATGAGGTTAAAACTCGGTGTGAGAGTTCCCCAACACAAGGACAAGAGGAGGTATTGTTGGGCCGAAACATTCCTGTCCAGCAGATGGCAAAAGATTGGCAACCACACTGAGAAAGAGTATCCCTGAATGACAAGTCTAGTACAAAGAAAAACAGCACAGGCATCTGACTTACCGGTACGTTGGGAGCTAGCAGACGGGGTCAGAAGAAGCAGTGCCGCCGGCAGCAACAAGACAGGGACTCTCGCCATGGCGAATGCAACATCTATGAGCCCAGCTCGGTGTGCGTCTGTCTTTTATACACCCGGACCGGCCTATTCTTTATCTTTGTGCGAAGGACAACTGGTCATGTTGACTTGGGCGCTCCCTTGGGACGGGGCGTTCTGGCTCCTCATTGGTCGGAGTCAACTTCCGGCGGAAACGCCTTCTGCAGATTATGCAATCACGGCAACCACTTGCGCATGTGCACCACGCAGATGTAGGAATTTGTTGCTATGGCTGCATAGATAGTTGTGTGCGTCCACCGTTAGCCCCCCTCCCCACTTCTCTGTCAAGGTTAAAGTCACGGGTTGGAAATGTACCGGCTTTGTTAGCCAGTGGTTTGACACACACACGATACAAGGCTGCGATCTGAAGGAATTCCCTCTGTATCTCATGAAAGATCCCGGATGTCACAATAACGGTCACCCACTTGGCGTCCAATCAAACACGTCCGTCGATATTCAAACTTGGAAGAACAGTTCGCGACGACCCTTGAAAAGCGTCATTCGGGGCCGTCAAAACCTCAGTTGACAGCCGGATATTGGCTACTTATGAAATGTCAACAAATCCTCTGATAGACGAGAAAATAACCGGAGATACACTCACATACACGGTCCGACCCCCACCGCGTGAAATCCGCTGAAAGCCGGGTAAAGCTTTCGTTTTGGCATAGGTCCATGTTTGCGTGCTCCAAACGTAGTATTGTGGCTAGACCAAACTCTCCGAAGACACAGTCAAACTTTCCTTAGTAGTTGTCCCTTTTTTCTTACCTAATTGCTTTACCATTCAAATGGCCACAAAAAAGCTTCTGACTAAGTCCGCTCCCTCAAATATCTCTGCTGCCGATCCCGGGCCCTAAAAAGCGAGGGTAGAACACTGAGGCATGTGCGGGGAAAATGCCAACAAGGTTGCGGGCAACCGATCGCGATCTACACCCAACCGCGGATACCAAAGTCGTGACTGACTGTTAGCAAAATCGGGTGGCCCTGCATGCGCTTTACCCAGTTTCCTTTAAAAATGTAGTATTGATTTCAAATACCCATCTGTGCCATTTGTTCAAATACAAGCCGGGTTCTCAAAAACATTTTTGTCCCTCTTCAAAGATCCAGAGCTTCGACCAGGAAAACAGATCGAAGACCATACCTTTGGAGGCAGTATTTTTCATAGACTTTTTTTTAGAAATGTCTAAAACCATTGGTGTAAACCATGATAGCATGGAAATAAGTGGTTTAAGCAATGCAATATTTGCATTTTTACGTTTTAACGAAGATGGGTGAGGCTGTGGAATCGGACCATAGGCTCTGCACAAGCCCAGGTGCAAGCTAGCAACTCCTGTACTTTGCTGCACCGCCAATTTTTTTACACAGGGTTTGGCATTTGGCAACGTGCCTCGAGCTCTTTGGCAATGTCTTTGTAATGGCGTGGAATTCGACCTATTGAGAGCCATGTATACTTTACAGAACTGTGAACATTGTTACTTTACAGGAATTACTGCTTGTTTTCGCTCATATTTCAATGCGCACAAAATGGTTAGATAGTGTGGGTTTTCTTTGCAAACATTATGAAAATATACCGCTTATCGATAAAATTATGATTTTTTTATTGTAAAAAATCATTTGCTTGAACTCTCAAAAAGTACACTTCAGCCACTTTCATAATGCTTTCTTTGACGGTTCTTTCATATTTCTATCGCTACATATATATGTATACCGTCAAAAGAATTATCTTTCAAAATAAATCGGATTGCCACCCCCCTTTCTGCTGACAGATGTGGACTGACCCGTGCGTGTGCCAAGTTCAGAGTCAAGTACACGCCCGGAAACTCCTTACCGGCGACTGACCCGGAGAAACTGTTTACTCTTCCGTCTAGAAGTCGGCTGGTAATAACGCCAGATTTACACGGAAACACATGTGGAGAACTACATGTAGTCTCAAAGCAGATGTTAGGATCTCTGAGCTACCGTTACGAAAATACCGTATAATACTAGAAAGAGTATAAATACCATAAAGTCAGACATAAAGCTTTGAGAAGTCTCAATGTAGCTTTTGATAACCATTTTTATATCTCATTTCATTAAGTTTCGTAAATAACTTCCCGGCATTAATGATAAGTAAGAGCGTGTGGCGTAACGGCAGAACATTCGGCTCGGAAACAAGAGGTCCCGGGTTCGAATCCTGGCAAGTCACCAACCGTGTGCCCTTGGGAAAGGCACTTAACACGAATTTCCTAAGTTCACTCAGGTAAAAATGAGAATGCCAGAATGATCATTATCGTGGGCATTAAATGAAACCCAACGCACGTTGCATAGCTAGGCGCATAGACGTAACAACTGGCTGTATAATACACATCTGCTAACTACATGTCAATACCGTCTTCTGTATAGAAGCTACAAGGTGACCACCGTCTCTTTTTAAATCAGGCTAGATATTATATCTAGTCCGCATTTATAGTGTTTGATTCAGTAAATGAATGCTGCTTCTCAAGTATAACTTCATGTGGATATGGCATCGTCCTTTGCAAGTTCTAAACGCATGTCATCGTGCCTCTTTGGTTGAAAGAGAACAGACAGACAACAACATCCTTTAGGAGAATGACTGTTATTATAACCTTTAGAGATAGTGAATGGTTGTCCATCAATACCGTTGTGTCTCTATTTGTAAGGAAAAAAGCGGTAAAGTAGCGTCCCTTTCAAACATTGCCTACTGTTGTTATAAGGCTTAAGGACTGTGAATGACTGTTCAACTACACAATGCTACAGCTACCGTCTATGTCTTCTGAATGTGTTCTGAGAAAGTGAGGGATTGTTTCTCTATATTTGTAAGGAACAAACGAAAAACCACGTCCGGCCGATCATGCTTTGTTCCTAAACCTCTTGAGTTTAGTCTGCCTTGTGACGTAGGTCTACTTTCTAAGATGATTGTAGGAAAACATGTCCTGATGAAGGACTCATGATGTCATGTACTTGGCGAAATTAAACATCCCGAACTCGCACCAAAACTTTTTAAAATTTATGACTTTTCCCGGTTGAATATGAAGGTTCTAACAGCGGATATTGCGTCATATCCGGTCGTAAAAGAGTATAAAGTCATAACAGAACGATTTATCGTAAAGGCTGCCAAAATGGTCCCTGGTTTCTTAAAACTGGTGGGTGAAACCAGTTTGTAAAAGAAATGTTTGGTTTTTAAGTAACTATTATATTACTAACACAACTCGCTAATGTTAAATAATAGATAATGGTGTCGTGTGGCGTAACGCAGAGTTCTCGACTCGGAACGAACAGGTCCCGGGTTCGAGTCCTGACATGCCACCGATCTTGTGCCTTTGGGAAAGGCACTTTACACGACTTTCTTCACTGAAGTGAAAATGAGTATTGTCCTGTCCTATATTTTTCCTCTGCGTTGGTGGCGGCATAAAATAAGTTGAAAAAACTTGAGTGTGTCACCATCAGGTCTTGTGATGAAATGTTGGAATAGGAAAAAAATAGAATCGTCGGTTTGTTAAATACGATGAACATATAAAGTCATGAATTACGCTGTGTAGACGCGTAGACACAACAACTGATAACTAACTTGTAAAACGAAGCACTCTTAGAAAAAAAGGGTAATTCTTCATTCTTGTGTACCAAAACATCCCAGCGGATACGATAAGATAACCATAACTTCCTTCCTGGAGTTTCCAACAAACAAATACGGTTATGATCTCCATTCCACTTTGTTGTACGTTGCTTCATCATAATTTTTTAATTAACCGTTGTTGGCAAATCCCAAAAGTCCACATTGTGTATATATGTATTATTATTTTGAGACGCCAGTAAGTTTTGTTTTTTCTTTGTTTATTTGAAACTTTGTTTCTTCATCAGAAACTTAAATCGCCCTGCAGGTCGCTTTATGATGAGATCACGAGTGAAGATGTCTTTACTGGTCTACAAAAATCAACGGCAAATGTACTGATGTTGACACATTGGCGCATCAAATCCGTAGTGTATTTTTGGCACACAGGTAGACAAATTAGCCTAAAATTGCCTTTCCAGACGGCACGACGTCGGGCCACGGTGAGTATCGAACCCGGGACCGGGATATCAGGGATATTGGTTCCGAGTCCAACGCTCTAACTTGGTCTACAAACCTGTGAAATATAGGTCAGTATCTTGACTTGTTGACTCACGGAGTTCTGGTTGTGTCTATCAGGGCATTACACGTTAGACATGTGTAAACACACACCGGGCATGTGTAAACAAAAGATCGCTTACAACTGGAATCCGGACTCAGTGTCACGGCTTAGACGGGACATCTCCGGCGTGCCCGCGAGGAAATTTTTCCTTTCAAGAAAAGAAAAGAAAGGCAAATCGATATCGTTGATTTCCGTAGGGTTAGATATCACCAGGTGGGCTCAGTTGGTCAAGCGGGGATAGAAGCTTGCAGTGCCGAGAAATCCAAGCCTGCCGTCCCCGGAGAGACCCAAGCAGATCCTAGGGTGGCAAAGACAGTATCCATTGGCTAGGGAGGGCCCCTCTGTCTTTTGCCACCCTAGGATCTGCTTGGAGATTAGGAGTTGTATTTAGTCTAAAACACGTTTCTAATTCATATTCTATGTACAAAAAGTGTCCCCGACCCATTACTAACTTATTGAGCCAAATTGTCACTGTTAGAGCACTGGAGATGACCTAAATAGTACCTTAGAGCGACAATCATATCTACACACCTGACTCAAGTCCCGGTTAGAGGGACCGTCTCTGAATCCTGATGTTTTTCCCAGAGGGAGTTCGTAATCTCAGACCCAACGCTTTAGTGACCTACATAAACACATTTTGGACACGGTGTTGGAGTGGGGGTGATGGAAGGATTAACAGGTTTCACACGCAATTGGCTTATCTGTTGTTGGGATTAGGGAAGAGATACAAGCCTGGAATGTGGACAAGATATAGGGTCGTCTGCTGATCTGGAGAAAGACAGTTAGAACTAGAGAGGTAACATTTGCAAAGCAAATGCATAATGTTTACCTTCGCATATGGTCTGCTCTGTTAATTCTTACCCAAATACATTCATATATATGGTGACTGGAGTCTAAATCCCTCCTACTATACAATTGCAACATGATGTAACTCAACACTAGTTACCATGGTGATAGACGGTCTGGT